ATAATAATTTTTCACTGAATTTTTCTACTCTCTTAATAAAATATTATCGAAATATTAATGAAATTATAATGAAATTTTAATGAAATTGGGTCAAAATTGTGAATGCTTTTCAAACATATTTCAGCAAAAGTTCATTATATTTTCAATGAATTATTTCCATCAGATACAAATATCTCAATTGAGATCTTACATGCGAAATTTTGCGGAAACCTCAACTGAGAATTCAATTGAGAATTTAATTGAGAATTCAATTGGGAATTCAATTGTGATCTCAATAGAAATTTTTCAGTAGGGTAGCACCTATCCATGTCCTGACCGCATTAAACTGTTGCTTAACCTGATGATCAAGCGCGCACGCGGTGACTCTGATGACTCCAACGATGTTCTTACAATTCATGTTTATATAATGTATCCTTATAGTGTTCACAGTACATTATACTTAGCAAACATCAAATAATAATAGTTATATAATTTTTACTTAGTGTTTGTTGAATAATTTGCTGATAGATATTGAAACAATGCAACAACATTTGATATGTAATAAATATTGATGTAATGTAGTGAACCAGTGATAATTACTTTTAGATTTTTAACAAAATGTTATAATGATTAATCCAAACAAAAAAAATTAAAAAATCCAAGAAAATCCAAATTAAACAAATCGTAATATTAAATTTTAAAAGAAACTTTTAAAAAATACTATTTCTGTAAGGGAAGGTGACTTTAAATGACGCCGTAATAACGTTTTAATGATGTTTATAATGTCAAAGAAATTGATATGTCAATTGATGTCATCATTCTATTTAGAATATGATATATTGCTATAATTTAACTATAATATTGCAAATATATAAGTGTAATATTTCAATGATATAAATGTGTAATATTTCAATAATATAAGTATGTAATACTGCAGTAATATTTCTGTAATATTTCAATGATGTATGTAAAGGTGCAATATTTCAGTAATATTTCACTGTGATATGTAATATTATCACTATATTGCAATATCACTGCAATATTTCTGCAATATTACGTGCTGTGTGGGTCACTATATTTTTAAAAATATAAAATACTTAAACATATTTTTTTTCGGAAATGATGAATAATATGATTAATATATGATGGATTCATACATTTCAATATGTACCCAGTGAGGAATGATTGATCGAAAAGATGTCGATTTGATGTCGAAATGATCAGTTCTCATCGACATGCTGCAGTACATCGAAAATTGTCCATATTTCGATGATTTTTCGATGTGTTGCATTTATAATAGCATGTAGTTGTATTTTTCAATGTAAAATATAATTTTTTCAATATATAATTTATATTATTGTCCTTTTATAGTTTATCGATTTGACATTGATTTGACATCGATTTGACATCGATTCAAATGCAACCTAATTATAATATATATTAAATTATTGTATAACGATTATAAACAATCTTAATTTGTATAACTTTAGATTATTATGTAATTAGGATTGGGTAAGTTAATTTTGATTTTTAACTAAGTTAAACATTAGTTAAGTTAAACATTAGTCGCTATAAAAGAACTGAGTTTACGTTAAAAGTTATTTAAATAAAATATTAACTCAATTAAGAGTTAAGTTAAAATAAAATTAATTCTATTAAAATTAAAAGTTAAAAAGTTAAAAATAAAGTTAGAAGTTATTTATGCAAAAGTTAATTATGTAAAACTGTACATATTTTTTAAATTATTAATATTTTCATAATTAGCCTTTAAATTTACATTAAATTTATGTACAATAATGAAAGTGTATTCTTATTTAAGGAGATATGTTTTCTCTCTCTCTCTCTCTCTCTCTCTCTCTCTCTCTCTCTCTCTCTCTTACATAATTTGTACAATAATATAAATATTGCGATTATGGCACATAAACTTCATTCTACCTTTGTGTGGCATGTAATAAAAAATAAAGGTAGAATGACGTTTACAGTCCTGCAAGCGTACATCCGACCGCAGCCACAGTCTGATCTTTTATTAAAAAGTATCTCAAATTCAGATGCTGCATAGCTAATAAAACGACCCGTACAGCATCTGAAAATAAACTTGAAACGTTCATAAATATAAGATTTGGTTATGAATATTACTTTTATATGCCTGTCTGTTATTGTGCCCGACCATTTTCACCTAACTTTAATATTAATTAAATATATTAACTTAACTGAAAAAAGTAAAAAATTTAAAGTTAATACGTAAAAAGTAACGAAGTTGAAGTTGAAATTTTACTTATATAAGCTTAACTAAGTTTAACAATTGGACAATGCGGTCGGTTAGTCAAAATTAGTAAAACCGGGCCTATCTCTGTTATCGTCAAAACGCCTAATCTCTGCGATCAGAGATTATACCCGTGAGCAATGGTACGGACTTGAGTCTACGCTTGCTCGTGTTTCCATCTCCACTAATAGCTTCTACACACAGAACGCGGAAACGTTTGCCGCGCGGCGAAAGTTTGCGCGACAGCCAATCAATATGTTGTTTTTCCATAAGAGCTACAAGGTTATTACGGAAAGCAACATATTGATTGGCTATCGCGCAAACTTCCGCCGCGCGGCAAGCGTTTCCACGTTCTGTGTGCAGGAGCCATTACGCACACACAGACGGTGGAGAGGGAAAATGCCAGTGAACGCGCGCTCGAGTTCGTACATGCTTTGTTCGTTACTTAACTAACTGTTTTTGGCGAAGTCATATTGTTTCCGTAATACGGCATATTCTATAAAGTACATCTTATTCGTTGAGATTAGGGATCTATCTTACTGGACTTTTGGATACAGAAAGAGAGAGAGAGAGAGAGGAGGGAGAGAGAGGAATATTTATTGCAACGTTCTCGAAGTGATATCAAATTTGTTGGTTTATTATTTCCATCTCAAAATCCCAGAGTATTAGTACGATAATGGACAATGAAAATAGACCTGTAAATACTGCTATAAGTATAATATGCCAATGATTTACTTCATTTGAACATGAGTCGATTTTGAGGTTAACTTAAGAACCGGTGCTCTACCTGACTATAAAGCCTGTTCTTTTTAGCTGAATTAGGTTACCTTTTTTGCCTTTATATGCTGTGAATTGAGTATTCTGCATTTTAATCATTTGAATTAAATTATAGTATAGCAAACATATTATACTGTAACATTTAATTTTTATTGTAACATTTACATGTTATCAGTATTAATAAAACAATAGGTTAGTTATTTTTGGTTAATATGCAAAATATTTATAATATGCAAAATTAAATGTTTATTTCATTTAATGAATATTGAAGCAAAATATTCTACACTACAATTCTTCAGATATGTATGCAATTTTGTTAGATTTAAAATACACAAGTGTCTGCGTCAAGAATGTTCAGGTGAACCAAAAAAGTTTGAAGATGCTGATTGCAAATATTATTGGAGGAAAACTCAACTCAAACGTTTGAAGAATTAGTTGAAGCATTAAATGTTGGTAAATCAATCGTTTCTGATAATTTTACAAAAATCCCTCAAAACTAACCTGAACTTAATATTTATTATTTTTCATCAGAAATAAGAAACTAAATTTTTTTTATCTTTATTATTTTAAGATTTTCTATATACTATATTCTATTATCCCATATAGCACACTTTATCTTATGGACATCCTGTGGATGTCTTTTGGACGTCTTCTTGACATAGGGACATCTTCTGGACATCTTTTGGATATCCCTTGGATGTCTGTGCTGTATGGGATGAAAGGTAAACTTGAAAAATTCCTTACATTCATTGAATGTTTCAATTCGTCTTGTATTAAAATTTATAATGTATTATTTATTATACTACATTTCTTCATATTTTAACGACCTTATATAATTTTGTTTCAATTTATTAGGTGCTTTGATGACATGCTTTGAAAGCAAAGACCTAACACTATGTGATAAAATTGTCAGTGCTTAGCTTGCGAATGCACCGTGGCGTAAAAGAAATGATAACAGAGCGCACTAGGCAACTGATGATTTTCAATCAATGACGACGAAGAAGAAGTAATCACCTCAGTATTTTCAAATAGATAGCAAGGAAAATTACGAGCAACACAAATCTACTAAATATCATAAAAAATCCAAGTTAAACCTTTCTTATAATTTGCATAACTTATAAGTACAGTATTAAAAAGTCCATAATTCTACTACTATATTAGTACTTTGTTATACTAATTATTCACTAGAAAATCATTAATATTTTGGAGTTTAGAGATTCATTTAAGAGTATTATTTTTTCTAAGTCATGAAATACGCTGCTGTGATTTCAGTGCAACGTACATTATTGATAGTAATTATTTTTTGTAATTATTATTTGTAATTATATACGAATTATTTAATTGATAATAATTCTTTATTGCTTTTTTAGAAATATTTTAAGGCTTTTGGTCCTTCGCTGCAATTGGTCTTGTTTAATGACGTCAGAGACGAGAAAACACATGTCAAAATACTTGCGTTATTTCACGTTCAAATTAAAAGATATACCCATAAAAAGGCTTTTGTGATAAATTTAGCATACTTGTAAAATTGTCTGCAAACTTTTCTGTTACTCCTACAATCAGTAAATAGTCGCAAAATTAACTTGACATAAAACCTTTTTTTGTAACCTCCCCAGACATCATGTCTAAAATCGGGACATAAGACGTCTAAAAGACTTCTTTAAGACGTCTTACAGTCGTTTT